GAGACCACCACAATCATTATGGTACCAAAATATGCCAAAATGGGATCAAACAGAAGGAAGCTTAGCACACATGAATAGCAAACGCTTACTGATCTATCAACCACACCACCTAAAACTTAGAAATGCCTTGTACATAAGATACATAAGACTGGAGATGGGTATCTCTATTCCATCAAGTCTGAGGTGAAAAATCATGCAAGTCTATTGTTCACTACTAGTAAAGGTCATGAGTTAATGCTTGCTGACCTAATAATATTGTTTTGTGGCTATCAGCTAACAGAGTTTTTCTGTAATCTGTACAGTATTTGAAGAAGAGAGGCCAGGCCAAAATGCAATAGTTAAAATAAATTGTGCAGAAAGCCTTACTACATGTAACTGGTGTGATAGATGAAGGAGAACTGACAGGCAGCAAGTGTAGACAAAGTTACCACCAAAGGCCAGGGATTACCACCCAAACTTCTGATGCTACAGAGTTCTGGGGCATCAGCTGACCCATACAAGTCATGCGTCTACATATGATGCACAGAAGCAAAGAACAGAGAATGTATACTGCAGACTTACATGTGAGCAGCGGGGGGAGGGGCAGTGTTTCTACCACCTCTCTTCATCTCCCTCCATCACAGTTCTGTAAGTTTGGGGAGGGGGACACCACAGCACTGCCTATTTTCTTCCTCCTCTACTGAAGGAAATCACATCAACAGAAAGGAAGAGATCTGCAGTGCTTGAATACCTGCCCCTGCCTGCTACCAATTTGAAGGAAACTGGATTTCCCCTTCAGCTCAGAGTCATGAAGACCAGACAATCCTTGGTCCAGTTCTTGCCTCCATTACCATTATCTTCAACTACACCAGTATCCTCTTGCTACCCTTTCCTAAAATGTCTTGTCTGGATCTTCCTGCCTCCTCTTGGATATTTTTTTCATGTCCTCCAGTTTGAGAAACAGTGTTCTGCAGTTTCTAAGAAACGAATAAAATGTTTTTGCTCAGAGGACAGGAAAATTCACATGCCTTTTTTTGCATATGCTCTTACTAAAAAGCTTCTGCATCTCTTTCCAATGCACCTTGATTTTCAGAAAAATAATTCAGTCCTGGGTTCCTTTGATGAAAGGAAGTGGAATAAAAATATAATCATTCAATCAGACTATAGTCAAGCTGGATCTATCTTCATACTGTTAGCGTTGTATATGGCTGCAACCATTTTTCCTCAAGCTGTCACAATAAAAGAACACTACCACCAGCAGGGGGAGGGGTGACTAGGTATATAGAGTTTAACTAAGTTGGACTCTAAATGAAAAGAGTTGGCAATATGCAGCAATGCCAATGTTGATATAAACCCCTCCACATCAGAGGCCCAGCACAATTGCTCTTCTGCCTTGTCCCTTAAGAATAGAGTTGCCAGATATATGGGTACCAAAAGAAGGACATAGAAAGACAGAAAAGAGGGCAGAGGACGTATTTAATGTTCCACTTGAATAGTTCTGGATTAAACCCACAATCAATACAATTTTATCACAATAGCTGCCAATAAATGTCTCTTAGTGAACCAACCAAGAAACAGTCATGTTAAAAAATAAAAATAAATTCAATGGAGGCTTTTTTTTCAAAATACCAAGAAGCGTTATTTAAACAGCCAATTGTACAATTACAGTGGTAATTAAGAACTTAAGAACTTAATCCGTATTGGGACTGTGTTCTTAAGTTGAAAAATTCTTGAGTCGAAGCACCATTTCCCATAGGAATGCATTGAAAACCATTTACTCCGTATCTGCTGTTTTTCGTTCTTAAATTGAGGCGCTGTTCTTAAATCGAAGCATTAGTTCCCATAGGAACTAATGCAAAGCCGGTTAATCCGTATCTACCACTAAGGGGTGATTTTTATTTCTTCTTTTGACCTAAAGTGAACCTAGGTCAAAAAAGGGGGGGCAGGAAAGTCGTGTGTGTTTTTTCCCCTTTTTTGTTCTTAAGTCGAAGCTCCGTTCTCAAGTTGAAGCAACTTTTTGCGAACGAAGCCATTCTTAGCTCAAATCGTTCTTATGTAGGGACGTTCTCAAGTCGAGGTACCACTGTATTATATTATAATCTTTATTAATTACACGACATATCCCGGTGCCTGTTGTCGTTGCTCCTTCACTTGTGCCAGGTCAAGCTCTGTGAGAAGGTTCCCCTTTCTTTCCCGCCTCGTTTTGCTGCTGCAGCTGCCGCCTCTTCTCCCTCTCCTTCTTTCTCTGGCAGGTGCTTGGCGCTGAGCCCCACTCTTGCTCTGGCTCCCCTTGCCTGCAGCTTCACTTCTTCTCTGCCAGCCTTCCGCAATCTTTTCTAGCCGCCGCCAACTCTCTTTTCTCAACTCCTGCTGCTTCCTTGAATACCTCCGGGCAAGCCCACAAACTCTCCCTCTCCTTCTTTCTCTGGCAGGTGCTTGGCGCTGAGCCCCACTCTTGCTCTGGCTCCCCTTGCCTGCAGCTTCACTTCTTCTCTGCCAGCCTTCCGCAATCTTTTCTAGCTGCCGCCATCTCTCTTTTCTCAACTCCTGCTGCTTGCTTGAATACCTCCGGGCAAGCCCACAAACTTTTTCCCCTTAAAAAAAAAGATCCTGCCCTTCTCCAGCTACCAGCAGCTTCACTTCTTCTCTGCCAGCCTTCCGCAATCTTTTCTAGCTGCCGCCATCTCTCTTTTCTCAACTCCTGCTGCTTGCTTGAATACCTCCGGGCAAGCCCACAAACTTTTTCCCCTTAAAAAAAAAGATCCTGCCCTTCTCCGGCTACCGCTCTCTCTCAACTCTCTCCTTTTGTTTTGCCCGTTCCCTCTCACTCGTGGTGTGTGTGTATATATGTGTGTATCTGTGTCTGTCTCTCTCTCGTGGTGTGTGTGTATATATGTGTGTATCCCTATCTGTGTCTCTGTGTGTGTATCTTGCTCTCCTTTCCTTGCTAATCATTTTGCGAAGCAGGAAGCCACCTCCAGAAGCAAAGGCTCCATGTGGGCATGGCTGATTTACAGCTCAAAGGGGGGTCTTAGATTGTGACTCCATCAGAGACTGATTTCCATCTTCCACCTCTCACACTCCCATCCAAAATTATAACATAAAATACAGTGGCACCTCGACTTACAAACTTAATCCATATTGGAATGCCGTTCGTAAATTGAAATGTTCGTAAGTCGAAGCACCATTTCCCATTGAAATGCATGTGGATGGGATTAATCTGTTCCAGCACTTAAAAAAATACCAAAAATAAAAACAAAAATACAACAGAGCTGGGACTGCAAAAAGAAAAAACTACACACACAAATCCAAAAATGAGACAACATAGCACAGAAACATAACCCCCCTGTCCAAACCCACCCTCCAAAACCCACCGAGAACAGTTTTTAAAAAGGAGTACTGTACCCATCCAAAGGGTGCTCTCCTGGCCTTCTGACCGCCACCACTGGGAGGCTTGAGCCTGGCTGGGTTTCTTCGGCCGCTCACTTCCCAGCTCACCTTCGACTTGCTCAGCGCCAACCTCCGTGATGGTGGGAAATTCAAATGGCAGAGGGCAGCGAGGAGTGAGCAGGAGGCGAGCAGCCAAAGAAACCCGGCCAGCTCAAGCCTTCTGGCGCTCCACTGCCTCCGCTGCCCCCGCCAGAGCAGCTAGGAGGCTCCAGCCTCCTGGGCACTCTGGTCACCCTTGCCGCCCGCCACACCCACCAAGCAGCCAGGAGGCTCAAGCCTCCTGGCTCTGGGTTACCCCCACCGCATCCCTTTCCCTAACTGTTGGGGGAAAAGCACTAAAAAGCAGCCGCCTTTTCATCACCAACAGTTCAGTAAATTCAAATTTCCCACCCTTTCCCCCTGCCTTTTTGTGTTTGTAAATCGAGGTTCTGTTCACAAGTCAAAGCAACATTTTGCGAACGGAGCCATTCGTAACTCAAAATGTTCATAAGTGGAGACGTTCATAAGTCGAGGTACCACTGTATTACAAAAGCCGGACACTTTAAAGGTTTTTAGCTTTGCCTGCCAGATGGAGGACATTAGGCTAAAAAGGAGGACATGTCATCCTTTTGTCGGACGTCTGGCAATCCTACTTAAGACGGCCCTGGATATTTTTGACTCATTGAATATAAAATGCAAACAAATTGTACACACAAACAAATTACTGTTACATGGTGGACAGCTCTGTCCATAAACATACTAAATACGAAGACTGTATTTCTCTGATTAACAAGCACATTAAAAGAATGAAAACCCATTTGTGAAATAAGAAAGCTTGCAGGTGCAGTCACAATGGTTAATTTGTATATCATGCCTATTCCATCTAAAGCCTATTCCATTTCATCTGGCTTTCCCGCTTTCCTATTCAATTAATTTGTGAGCAATGCATAGCTTAGGCAGATGAGGCACTGCTGGTATGTACTATTCCGCTCCCTTCTAAGTGGTTCTTTTCAAAGCAAAACAGATCATGCTATCTGTAAAAGATGAACTCAAATCCTTTGGCTATTGTCAACACTGACACATAGACTTCCCATCACACTAGAAAAACAGTGTCTTGGTCTGTTTACTGAACTAGCAGGATGTTTATTTATTTACTTTTAAGTAGATAAGGTTAATGAAAGAACTTTCATCCATATTTAATAATATGCATTCCTAAGACTTCTTAATTTAGGCCTCCTGAGAGAGCAGAAGGAACGCTTTGGTAAAAATATATCTTGATCTCAGATTTAGACTCATTCAAGTGAATGAAACATAAGGAATATTATAAAGATCCAAGTGTTATTATGAACAACTAGCTATCAACTAGCATAAAACCTAAAGGATTATTCAGGCAATTTGCACTACACATGTTTTGAACCATTACAACATGTACCAAACACTGAGTTTTATAGGACAGTGTTCATTAAGATTTTTCACGATGATTGTGTATTTCGTTATTCTTTGGTATCTCTGCTCCTTATGCCCTAAGAAATGACAGCAAAAAGAAAAAAAATTCCAACGTTAGTCGAAAGAAGTTTCTTCAAAGAGCTTACCTTCCTGTGTGTTGTGTTTCCTTCTGAGCCATTTTTCTACTGTCTCAGCACTCACGCTTTCTGATACAAATTCATCCAGTACCTGGGGGTGAAGAGAAAGATAGGCCTTCACTTTTTCATCTGTCAAACCTGCAAAAGAGAACACCACTGTTTTTACATTATTGTTATTTTAACCAAAATAAATAAAATAAATGAAACGAGTTTACGATTAACACACACCCAAAATCAGGAACAGGCTCTGTTGTATCAAGAAGAGCAGAATTATTTGGCTTTGAGTATTTAATTCAAAGTGCAGTAGACAGAAAATTATGATAGAGGAATATACTCTGTTCAAAAATACAAGTACAAGGTTGGATATAGAACTGCTCAAGGCTTGCTATGAAAGGGAAATGCCAGCAGGAAACTAAAGGTGAATAAACTGGTCTGGAGCCTCTGACAAATGAAAACAAAAATGGCTAAATATGAAGGGCCAAGTGTTTGAAGAATATGAAAGGGAGCTTCTGTTAAATAGATAAAGGAATGGGTGAGGAAACCACAGCCATGGTTGTGTGGGGGGAAGGTGAAGGAATCCAAGTAAAAGCAATCAACAAATTAACTTTAGAAAATGTATCTCATCAAATTAGAAACAGACTAGTGTTTGCACCAAGCTGAGAAAGAGACACTTTAATGATTTTACATACAAAATCCTTCCTTTCTTTCTGCCAACAGGTACAAACATACCTCTTTAAAGAGCCTTTTGGGGAGCCAGCAGGCAACCGAGATGGGGAGGTCTTCTTAAAAAGTGTAGTCATTAAATAATGCTTTAAATATATACATACTATGTTTTTAAATCTAAATTAATTTGTCTTGACTAATTCTTGATTCTAAAAATTTTCAGTGCTGCTTACTAGGTGAGAAAGGTGAAATAAAAATCAAACAAATACAAGAAAACATGAATAAATGAGTAGCAAAAGCTAAGAGAAGGTTAAATATAAGACTTCCAGATGTCCATTTCCTCCCACTCACATCGCCCTGCACTGTTATCAGATGATATTAACTGAAGAAATAATAATACATACAAGTGAGATGAAAACAGTACTAAGTTGCTGCTTCTCACTGATGGCTAACATGGCACACACTTGTGATGTGTGTCAAGATTCAATCATGCTCATTTTTACCTTGCAAAAAGTTCTATCTCCAACAATTGCTTGCAACCTCACATATACAGTTGGGGTGATGAAAAGGGAGAAGAAAGGGGAATTGATCAAAAGCATCCATCCTTCTGGACTGTGGTTTGAACTAGCAGAAAGAGGAGAAATCTAAAAGAAACGTGGGCAATGCAAAGACTAGAGACGCTAACTGGAAAAGGAACATCATTTTGGTAACAAAGACATATGACATTCACTGTATCGTAGATCACTCCTTTAATGGCTACTTCAAAATAAATGATGGCACAATTCCCAACCCATCTTGGTAAAAAACTGGAAGAGACTACATTGTGCAATCTCCAACATGAAGAAAAAATATGCAAATTGTCTTGTTTTTCAGCAAGACCTTGGCTCCTCTCCTGAAACTGCCAATTTGAAACAAAAATGGAAGTCCATGGAGCCTCATGAGAATTCAGTGAAGTACATACCTTACAGTTAAGTATGACCAAGTAAGTATGGTCATAGTCCTTTGGCTATTCCAGTTTATTGCTTAGACCAGTGGTTCTTAACCTTTGTTACTCGGATGCTTTTGAACTGCAACTCCCAGAAACCCCAGTCAGGACAGCTGGTGGTGAAGGCTTCTGGGAGTTGCATTCCAAAACTCCTGAGTAACCCAAGGTTAAGAACCAGTGGCTTAGACCAGCTAGCAGATTGTATTAAGGAATGTATCTTTTCCACACTGAATACCAAACTTTGTGAGGATGTCATGCTGCGTCTTGTGCAGCATAAACATTAAGCCTGTCACTTTAAGGACAATAAGCTAACAGCAGTAGTGTTGTGTACGTCAATGCATTAATACTCTCATAACTAAAAGTAATAATAGCATCCTAACAGACATGACAGAATTTTAAACATAAAATATTAGTATCTATGACACAATTTCATTATACATGGTTGTCCTCTTCCATTCTTGCTTAATTCCTACTGATGTCTGTGGAGTTGCTTATGCATATCAATGCAGGATCACGGCCACAGAGGTTAAATAAGCATTATCTTCCATGTTTTCCAGTAGAAAACCAGCAGCTTGCATTTTAAAAACTCAGTTCTCAGCACTTTTAGAACTCTGTAAGCTTTGATAGTCAAGATTTCCCCGATTTTTCCAAGTCCTGCACTGAAAAAAAAAATCCTCTTCCCATCTTTAAGACAGGTATGATACAAATGTTTTTCAAAGTTGTATCAGAAACCAACACAGCAAATTGTCCAGAGGGAACAAGTTACATGTTTTCACAAACACACTGAATACAGCAGTGCTAATTAGTTCTGCTGGGGACAGAACTACCTACGATAGCTCCTTAACTCTTGTCTCTCATTGCAATGAATGGATGAGAAACTTTATTTCCATTCTCTAGTTATTCACTACCACTGCTGCAAATTTTATATGGTTCAAAGCATTAGCAAAACAATCCTGTAGGACATAGAGTCTGTTGTAAGCCGCCTAGAGTGGTCCTGAGGGACTAGATAGGCGGGATATAAAATAAATAAATAAATAAAATAAATAGAGTTCTATTATATTTATTGCCTTCAAAAACCAAGGATGGAGTCATAAACCTCTGATAGAAAACAAGAAGACATCCTGGAAGACATATGCAAAGCCTTCTGGGTATACAAATAAAGGGTGGCTTTGTAATTTCTTCTACTGTGCAGGTGCAGAAAACTTGTACTGTATCTGTTATATAATATCAGTCAATGTTTTTAGAATGTTGGCT